TCACTATCAAGTTTATCTGTATGTAAATGCCAATAGAATTTCGTTCGTTAACTCAGTGGCAACCGACATGTTCTTCATTACGTCAGCTATGATAATTTAGCATTTTTATGATTTACGTATATATTTAAGGCCTCGTTATTATTACTTGTGCTTAAACATTTTTAAGAAGCACCATATTTTTAGTTTGCTAATTAATTATTCTTCATTTTGTTAATTATTAATAGTAGAGTTAGTGAATAATTTATTATTAGTAAATACTGAACAACAAAAACGGTCCTACGAAACAAAAAAATACTTGGTATTTATAACAGTTTCGCTATTATAGCAAAAATTATATAAACAAACAGACAGGAGATATGAAAAATAATATTATAAACCTCAAAATCATCGTTTATTAATTCTTTCCTAGTCATCTTCGTTCTAACCTCGACATAATGTTCACATCGTGGTACCCCCCGCTTGGAAACACATTCATTTACAACAAACTCGCTTAACACATTCTGTGTAATTCATAACAAAAACAAATATTTTAATTTTTAGAAGAAAATAAACTTTAAAAGGTATATGAAAGTAAACGAGATAGTCGTGTGATTCATTTGCGAGAAAATATCTACATATTTTAGACCTGGGTGGGAATTTAAAGAGAAGTTGATCATATCATGTATATACAGGGTTACCTCAAAATTCCAACTGGCTATGTAAACACATGTCGCAGTCCGTAAAATTTATGACACAAATATAGGCGTAATATAAAATGCCTCGTCTTTGGGAATGTTGACGTCAAGATTTATTTTGCTGTGCGTGCACGCAATTCAGTGTAACCACGAGCGTATCTTTTGTTTTACCGACACATAGACTACTTGTTAATAATTTGCCTTTCAGAGGGATTTTCTCATTAATAAAAACTTTTTAACAAAAAAATAAAAACCGACTTCAAACAAAAGCACTAAACAGTAAAAAATAACTGATTGGTAGTTTTCATTTACCATACATACCTAATCAAATATTTTCGAAGTCGGTGTGCTTTGCTTTGTATGGGCTGGCACCGATTTCGAAAATATTTGATTAGGTATGTATTTAATAGGTAGGCTTTAATTACTAAGCCAAAGCACACCGACTTCGAAAATATTTGATTAGGTATGTATGGTAAATGAAAACTACCAATCAGTTATTTTTTACTGTTTAGTGCTTTTGTTTGAAGTCGGTTTTTATTTTTTTGTTAAAAAGTTTTTATTTTTCCCTTTTTAGTGTAGACAGTAGTAGCAAAGTAAGGATTCTAACGTGTTAGGCTTGTCAAATCAAACAAAATAAGCCCAAACTCAAAGTATCTACTATTAGCCGTTGAAGAGTTCCACCTATCCACCTTCTAGCCTTGCCATCAGATCAGGTCAACAACACCGAACCACTGTACTATCAACGGAAATAGAAATACTTGCAAAGTTTCAAGTCAATATGACAATTAGAAGTAGGTTAAATTCATTATTAGTTGTTTTTCCACCCTTAGGGGTGGAATTTTTTTTTGAAATTTAAATGGGACCAATCTGGAAGTATACCCTTTCAAACAAAACAAAAATTGTCCAAATCGGTTAATAAATGACGGAGTTCTGAGGTAACAAACATAAAAAAAAAAAAAACATACAGTCGAATTGAGAACCTCCTCCTTTTTGAAGTCGGTTGAAAACAACCAGTATTAAAGTCATTTTAATAAAGTTATATTTAATATTTTAATATTTGTGGTAATTAAGATATTAAATGTAATATTTGTTTCAAATATACATATTATAAACCTACAGCGACTCACCCTCGCTTCAGGTTTGTCCCTAGACAAAAACAAATCTAACCCACGGGAACCGCACATTTTTCCGGCATGATATATAGCCTGTTGTCTTCTCAATATACGGGCTATCTAATGCAAAAAGAATTTTTCCAATCGGTTTAGTAGTTCCTGAGATTAGCGCGTTCAAACAAACAAACAAACTCTGCCTCTTTACAATATTAGTATAGATTTAATGTAGGCTATATCTACCTGTGCTTAATAGTTTACCAGAAGGGCTTCACAACTCAATAAGGTGTTTTTTTTTCTAAAATAGAAAATGAATTAGATACATATTTTTAAATCAATTTAAATTTGAAAAAGTAATAACTAAATTAAAATTACCGACTATAATAGAATTCTATAATTCTTTTTTCCATATTTGGTAGTTATTTTAAATTACGTGTAGCAGGACCTGGGAAATTCTTACCATGAAATTCTATATCAAACATATCGAGCCATGATGTAGGAGACTGACAACGAAAGCGATCGCTTATCAAAAATACTGACCTCTGGGACGTCAGAGTTATGATAACTGCATGGGAAATGCGCCATGGGAAATAGAAATTCAATAGACTATTTAAAGAGTCCATTGTATATCTATCTACATTTGGAATTTAATACTATACTTTTTTAACTTTATACACTTTTATTAGCTTATTCATTGAGGAAGGTTATAGACTATCTAACATCACGTAGCGCGACCCTTAAAAGCGGAGCAATGGTACATAAATAAACTACGTGAGCAGTGCCGCGGGCATTTCCTAGTTACCAATAAAACGCAGCAATGAACACAAAGACGACAGAAGAAGTTCAAATAAAAAATAATTTAATTTCATTAATCATCGGGTTTCCTATCGTCCCAGGAAAGGCGTCAGTGAACTGCAAACACAGATAGGTCTGCGTATGTTTATGGATATTCTAATCTAGCGATCGTTGACACTTGATACCCAGTTGTAAAAGTGAGCGTCGACGTTTTTTGTAATCAGCATGTTAAAAAACTTATATGTTAATCCTCATCTGCACCGCACTGCCTCGGTGGTGTGGTGGATATCATGTACAGCTGCACTCGGAGGTCCTGGGTTCGAGTCCCTGGTCGGACCAAGTTTAGTTATTGAGTCTTTCTGTATAGTAAGTCTCAGTAACAGCCCGGAGTTGGGAAGTTGGCCGTGTTTCACCCCTGTGCCTCGGAGAGCACGTAAAGCCGTCGATCCTGCGCCTTAACTCTTACTGGTCGTGTCTCGTGTCGTCCCACCGGAGTATGAGAGTGACAGGAATAGAGAGTGCACGTAGTGTCTGCGCGTACACTTGTGCACTATAATATCTCCTGCGCAGTTGGCTTGTCTCAATGAGATTGGCCGCCGTAGCCGGAATCGGCTAGGAGAACCAACATCATAATCCTCATACGGGCGCGTTATTGCTTTCCTTTAACCAAATATAACTACTATAAATGAAACGTAACATAATAATCACATAATACACAACCCCATTGCACCCATCAGAAGTCCCTAATTTTACTTCACGAAGCAATTCTGCAAAATTCACGGCACGTGACCACTATTTGGTGTTACTGTATAGTACCTATTAAATTCGACTTATTCATACGACTAATTATGCCATCTCACTATAAAACTATGCGGGCTGCTTGATTAGCTCTTACAATATGCGGTTGCGAATTCGTAACGTTGTCGCTTACATACTTGTAATTTAATAGTAATTTAAAAGGGATAGTCTTAAACTAAATTTTATTTATTATTTATTTATTTATTTAAAGGGATACATTCTATTGATAAGGGCCGGATACGTTTCGTCCCCCGTTTATGCGATGAGTTTATCTTTACATTGGTAAAGATAAAGTCATATAAACTTGTGCAAACAAATAGATTCTAAAAGCGTTATATAGATGTAATCAATGATATGAATCTATTATTTCTGTTTCAATGGATTGAAATTAAAATGTGAGTTAATAATAAAACATGACAGTTGAAAAATACAATTCAAAGAAACGCCACAGAGTAAAAATGTTAAAATATATTTTATTTATTTATTTTTTATTTATTTATTAGCTTTTTAAGGAAAACAAACAGTACAATAAATATATACATACTAAAACATATAAAAGTAATGATAAAAACCAACCAAGTTTCCAAAGATTTACAACACATAAACAAAAGCTTACCACCACGATATGATCATACATATTATATAAAAATTTTGAATTTAAAAATAGCTAAATGTTATCACATAATAAAACATCAAGTAATTATGCAGTTAAAAGTAACAATATACATACAACCTACAGCAAAACTACCTATTACAAATTAAGTTTTACAATTTTTTTTTATTTTTTTTTTATTTTGCCTTTAATAATAAAGTTCTCGCTTTGGTTTTTACGGATGTAAAAGTATATAATAGAGACTCTTAGTCTACACAACACAATAGGATACGGATATCTGGCGCCAACGTGTCGTCTCATAACAAATGCCTAACGGTCGCGTTAACCTGCTGTATTGAGAGTTCCTCACGAATTGCCTATGTACCTACCTGCTCTTTATACGACAGGTATACACTTTACACAGTATTTCTTTTATTGCCTGCATTACAAACAGAGCAAGAATAGAACAGGAAGCGACAATATACATTCAATTTGACAATAATCTACAAAATAACTTCTCTTTCCACGTAGAGCTTTATACTTTTATGTTAGTAGGGTGTGGTACAATGTTTAGTAGAAGTTTACTTTCATTTTCTAGATGTTCCTTATATTGAGATGCACAATAGGCATTCTAAATAACCCTTAATAAAAAATTTGAAAGATGTAGATTTTAAGAAATAACTTTATTTTTAAAAACAACAAAACATACTCTTTGTCTTCTTATCTACATAATATAATAACAATAATTATAAAGATTCTTAAGTTAAAAATTCACATTATTAATGAATAATTTTAAAACTTTTTCAACTGAACATATAGTAAAAATACTTGCGGTAAAAAATAAGTTAATACGTATTATTACTGCATTCGTTTAAATAATTATAATTTAATAATTTATTTCTTAAAATATATATAATAATGATTTTTTAATCGATTTATACATTTTTCTAAAAATAACCCGTAATATAATTTTGTAGATAACTGAGTCGCAGGCATTGTACAGCGTTATTTTTACAATCATTATTAACGCTATGTTTTTAAAGAGCTGACTACATATTTAAACTTGGAAATCTTTTGTTTCTTGCAAAGGCCATTCTCCGAAATCCAAGTGGCCATAACGTCCTTTTGCATAAGCGTTGCACCATATGTTCGGACTTCGGAGCCGGGGGGTAGCGGGTTCGAGGGTGCACATGTGTTTACGCATTCATTCATTGCGGTGCTATTAATGGGTCCATTCAGCATTGTCTTGCACATGCACCGGATATTGCATCTCGTCCCGCCCTCCCCGCTTCGCGACAAATTAGCAGAAACGATTATGACCACGTCGTCTGCATGGCTCATGGCGGGCATGTTTATTTTACTATCTTGCGGTTTTATTTCGTATATTAACAATACTGTAACAGCTTGCATATTCCCATATTTACTACGCTATAAAGAACGATAAGAATTAAGGTATTATGTTAATGCACAAAATCTTAAAATATATGACATAAATAGTAATATTTAATTAACTTATTTTTAATATAATATATAAGAGATGGTACTTATTTTTTATGAAAAAGCGTTGATTGCATAGTTTGTACTTAAGATCAAAGCTACGAAAATCGTAGCAGGCGTAGCATCTTGCTACGAAATTAATAACTGTAAATATAATGATTCTTTAAATACATAATAAACATTCGAGAATAAAATAAATATGTGTTCAATAGTTAGAAGTAATATATAATACTTTTAATAATAAATATTAAAGACTTTTAATTTGTTTATTCTAACAAGTTACTGATCAAAATGTAACAAAGAAATATACTGCTTTATTAAAATTAACTATTTTAACTCAACCGCAAATACATTGTACAATATATATTTTTTATATTACTTAACCAATTTGACAGCGGATTTCTAAACAATATATTCCACAGTGTAACTTAAGAAAAAAGTAGAATCGTGTGAAATTCCACCTCGTATCACGTCTATTTCTGTCCCATAAATTCCATCTTAAAATCGGGTACTTTTGGATAACCACCCATTGCGCTGCTTTCAGGCGACCGACACTAGAGAGCTGATAATTGACTCGTTCGACTAGTTCGCGTCCGGCCACCCTTTCCATAAATATTTCCCGATCAAATTATAATGCGTTCTAAAAAATGCCACGAGTTCAATTCTCGGAAACCACCGCCTAGGGCGGTTATATTCAAAGTTACCGATAGAGAGAGCCTTATCGGTTGTTATGTAAGTCAGAGCGAGGTGGCTGCTGAATGGAATGAGGTTCAGCACAGTCAAAAGGACGAGCTGTGAGAATTACAAGAAATGGATTTATTTATTGATCTTTGCTGTTCCGTTATAGTGTTAAGACGGCTTTTATAAATACAAATATTTTTACTGTTGCAAATACCCAATAGTCCATAAGAAAAAATCAATAAAAGAATATTTCAAATAAATTGGTATAAATAATTGCCCAGTGTGTGTCTTTGACTATCAATCACCCATAGAACAATTAAATTTCTACTATTATAGAATAATTCAAACGATATCACTTATAGAAAATGAAAAAGTCATACACTTTTATGACCTCGACACTGACACTTGACATAACGTTTAGATATCTCAATTCCATATATGTTTTAGTCTTCTAAGCCTAAGTCCCTTATATATATTTATTTCTCACTATTACAAATTTTGTATGATATGAGTATGTTGTTATCTACACTAATATTATAAAGAGACAGAGTTTGTTTGTTTGAACGCGCTAGGCTCTGAAACTACTAATCCGATTTGAAAAGTTATTTTTGCATTAGATAGCCTGTTTATTGAGAAGACAACAGGCTATATATCATGCCGGAAAAATGTGCGGTTCCCGTGGGTTAGATTTGTTTTTGTCTAAGGACAAACCTGAAGCGAAGCGAGGGTGAGTCGCTGTAGGTTTATAATATGTATATTTGAAACAAATATTACATTTAATATCTTAATTACCACAAATATTAAAACTACTTTAAATATAACTTTATTAAAATGACTTTAATACTGGTTGTTTTTAATGAGAAAATCCCTCTGAAAGGCAAATTATTAACAAGTAGTCTATGTGTAGTTATTGAGGAAGGCTATTGGCCATATATCATATATGATATATAATATAGTCTATTCCATAGTAACCGTTAAAACGTAGCTAATGACAAACCCGAGCGAAGCGCTTGTGAGTCCCTAGTTATGAGAATAAAATTATTGTTATTGATGATCTCATGTTTTTGAATGATATTTTGAATATTTGTAAAACTTCAAATAATTAGTCTTATCTCGAGCATAGCAACAATTTGCTCCAAATAGTTCTATTTATGTAATGTCCTGGCAGTCTACTGCTAATTGCTACATATTTTTGCCATTACGCAGTACGTACTGGAGTGAGGAATCTTCTGTACAATAGTGTTACAATAGATATTTATTTTATACTAGCATTGCCCACGGCTCCGCCCGCATTCAGATGACCAAAAATCAAATTCTTACGTTTTACGTATTAGTATACTCTTACAAAGCAGTTTTTGCATTTTTTCTCAGAAATGAGACATTTTCTCGCAGTAAAAAATATTCTATATGTTGACCCGGATAACCAGCTATCACCATACCAAATTTCATCAAAATCCCTCCAATGGTATTTGTGTGATGCGGTAACAGACAGACAGACAGACAAAAAATTCTAAAAACTACAGATTCGGCCTCTGTATCGATAATAATGTTTACTTCAATAAGATTTTCCAAAAAATATTTAATGTATAGATTCGGCTTAGTTACAATTTTATTATATGTATAGATTTTTTTTTAATTAACGCAAATGTACTGATAGTCATATAGATATAGAAATCGTTAACAGTTAGCTAAAAACTAGATTTTTTCTAATAAATGCCAGATCGTTTTTACAAAAAAATCGAAATAATTTATTTATAAACAGAATATACTTTAGTTATACTCATTTACTAATCGATGTGTTCAATTTCCAAACACCAAGCATAAATTAATTGTATGACTGAGTCATTTGAACATGTGTTACAAGATTAAAAACAATTCTTTATTGGGCAGTAACTTTAGATGGCAGTCTGTAGAAATATTTGATTTTAATACTTTCTTAGATTTACGCGAATGTTTGACATTATTAAATAAAACTATCTTTTCGGATTATTTCGCGGATTTATTTTGATTTTTGGTTCCCGACGTTTCGAATGCTTTACAGCATCCATGGTCACGGGAGAGACTGAGGTGTTACATGTCTTAAAGATATAGTTGTTACAGACAGCCTACCCACAATTAACAAAATGAAAATTGCACCAATTACATTACAATATTTTTAACTTTAAACATTTTTTATAATTTTAATTATAATTGAATATGGAAAATTATTTATTTAATTTTTGCTATTATTTTTATAATTACTACAATTTTAAAAATATTAATTAGTAATCTATATTTAGTGTTGCCATTATTATATTTATAACCATAAATAAAAATATAAAAAAAATATAAAAATATAGTATTAATTATTAAAGCCATATAATTGTTCTATGTGTAATTTAAAAAGTTAAAATTAATTACGGATAATCATTTTAATTTAGTTTGCTATTATTTAAAAACAACTTACTAAGCAACACTATTAAAATATACTTTTACAAATGAAAAATATTAATCTGATAAGCTGTCATTTTGATCTACACAGTATGAACTTACTACATCTACATTATTCATACATAACAGACAGGCAGATGTAGTAAGTTCATACTGTGTAGATCAAAATGACAGCTTATCAGATTAATATTTTTCATTTGTAAAAGTATATTTTAATAGTGTTGCTTAGTAAGTTGTTTTTAAATAATAGCAAACTAAATTAAAATGATTATCCGTAATTAATTTTAACTTTTTAAATTACACATAGAACAATTATATGGCTTTAATAATTAATACTATATTTTTATATTTTTTTTTATATTTTTATTTATGGTTATAAATATAATAATGGCAACACTAAATATAGATTACTAATTAATATTTTTAAAATTGTAGTAATTATAAAAATAATAGCAAAAATTAAATAAATAATTTTCCATATTCAATTATAATTAAAATTATAAAAAATGTTTAAAGTTAAAAATATTGTAATGTAATTGGTGCAATTTTCATTTTGTTAATTGTGGGTAGGCTGTCTGTAACAACTATATCTTTAAGACATGTAACACCTCAGTCTCTCCCGTGACCATGGATGCTGTAAAGCATTCGAAACGTCGGGAACCAAAAATCAAAATAAATCCGCGAAATAATCCGAAAAGATAGTTTTATTTAATAATATTTGATTTTATTATTTCACCATTATTTTATAAAACAATCAGAAAAATTACAAACATCATTAAAATTAGTCTGTTATAATATAGACTATTGATATTTGATACAACAGTTTAAGTTTTACGTTTTAAACTACAACTTTATCTGTCACAACGCAAAGTGGTCATAGATTCGATTCTCGCGAATAAAGAATATGTTTGTTGACAATATGGTTTTGTTTTTCATTACCAAGATTACTATCAGTGTTTTTTGGTCGCGAGCGCATTTCTATTTATTAGATAACCTATTAATAAGTTTATTATACGTAACCATCATGTGAGAGCGCATCAAAAAGAGTTCATGATAACATATATCTATCGATAAGTCTATGTAATAGGCCGATTGAAATGTAAAGTATATTTTAATTGAACCTATAACATAAAAAGTCCAGCCTTTCCGGTACATTATAAAAATAATTTCAAAAAAGTGAAAGTTTGTGAGTATGGATGTTTGTTTCTCTTTCACGCCAGAACGGCTGAACGGATCTGGATGAAATTTGGCACAGAGATAGTTTATAGTGTGGAATAACACATAGGCTACATTTGTCCTGGAAAAATATACGGTTCTAGGGATAGATTTTTTTTGTTTTTCTAGAGCCGAAACCGAGTGAAGCGAGAGTGAGCCGCTAGTAAACTATATTTATAAAAAAGAAATAACATTATTGAGCGAAGAAAGAAAAAGCTATACCGTCTCTTACACAGTATCACAGCAACGTACTCGTAGTTTTAACATAGACTATTTATTTATTATTATTTTTTTACTTTCTTTTATGCAAGCCTGTTTTAACATATCTAGTACTCCACATGATTTATGTCAAAAAACTGACATATTTACGAAATGTATCTTCAGGAGCAATACTGAAACTTCATTCATTAAAGTTCTAAGGCGATACTTTTATTTTCCACGAATCAACTGTTTATGTAAGCAATGCACCTATAAGGTACTTTGAAATTTTGAGGGATTCTTGTTTTTTCCAATTTTGGGTCGTGAGAATGAATCGCGTGCAGCCGACACTCATTAGGTAAACAGTATATCGACGTGTTTGCCGACGA